CTTTCATTTATACGAAAAGTGTTTCAACTTGTTCTACAATTTTCCACCACCGTTCAAATAAATAAAAAAGCCACTTTTTTCTTTCCAAGAAACTCGTATATCTCCTATATATCGAATCGCTGTGAGATAAAGATCCGGTAAAAAAAAAAAAAAATCCGTACGATATGTGAAAAAAAAAAAAAAAAAAAAGAAGCAGTGATTCAATTCGAACGGTAGTGGAAATAGAGTGAGCCGATTCTTCAACAGGTTGGCGAGAAGAAAAGTCTTTGTCTTGAGTTTCTCAGGGCGCCGTACCGTATGCACGTAAGCTGAAGAGCCCCAGTCACAGGGTAAGCATCTGCGATGGAAACTCGATTTTCCACGGAACGCGTTCTCACAGAGAATTGTTCGAGCCGGTTTGCACGTGTGCAATGTAATCACGTTTACAGAAAATCCCTGCCGGCCCTTTCACGAGGAGGTACGTGGAAATGTGCGGTCCACGATTTCCAACCGAATTCTATCCCCATGAAATTGACGTCGAATTGTTTTACCATCCCCGCGTCCGCCAAATAAATTAAAGTAAGTTGACGCAACGAAATTTCGAATGAAGGGGAGGGGAGGAGGGGGAGATAATGGTTGAACGACAATTTTATTAAACGTCGTACGACCACCCATCGAACGAAAAGAACGAAAATTTCGGGGTCGGAGGGGAGGGTTGTTGAAAATACCAAGTAGATATATCTCGATGTATATCTGCCATTTTGTAAAACGAATAATAATATAGGAAATATTGGATTATAAATTTGGACAAAGAAAACTTTTTGTTTTTAAAAAATTAAATTTAAAATGGAAAACGGTGGGAATTAATGGGGGATTGTTGTTATTTCTCGTCGATTGGAAAATGCACGAGTGAAACTGTTTCATGGTTGGGAATATAGAATATTTTTTCGTTCGAATATTAAATTTTTATTTCAAATTATTGTGAATGAAACTAATCGTTTATTGTGAGGAGATTTGTCCTTTTTCTTTTTCGTACATTGGACGTTATCTTTGTATGTGTATCAGGTCGCGTAGAATCGACACTAATGGTAGATAGAGGATACAGATGGAATAAATTCACTTCGTGCAGACGTGTATTCCATCTGACCTATTTTTTTGAATTATAACCCGTTAATGCACGCTGCTAATGCGCAGGTGATCATTTATGCAAAAAGTCAACGACTATCTCCGACCTGAATGCGATCAGCTTACGATCATCAAAAGATTTCTCAATTTTTCAAACGTTTTTCAAACTATTCATTGAGCATTATACATGGAAAATTGAGATAGAATCGAGGTAGCTCTGTTATTAAGTTTAAAAAAAAAACAGTCTATAACTGCATGAAATTATGATATTTGCATCAATTTCTCTCATCTTCTCTCATTCATCATCAACGATCACAAATCATTATTTTCGCGTAGTGAAAACAAGATCCAACGAAGAATACGATAAATTTCTAATAATATTTCACTTTTTACGAAAAGAAAAAAAGGAAAAAATTAATATGTCACACGAATAATTGCAAAGTCAAAAGGATCTCTTATACAATCCCTCACCTGGATATCCGAAAGGGTGGCTCTGGAGTGATGGCTGAGACGGCATACCATGTCACCTGTGTCGCCATAATCGTAGGAATGGCAACGGAACGGGGAATTCAAGCAGAGCTCCCGGCACTCCTCGGTGCTGCCAACATCTTGGTAAACGGAATCCACGGTTTTCAAAATACGGCCGGACAGTTTCTTGAATTCGCAAAGTTTCACCGGTTCGTCCACGCAGTGGTTCTCAAGGTAATCGAATCCCTTGGAGGATTGGAAAGCGTTCGATCCGGCGACGGTCAAACGGTCCATGTCCGATAATTCGCATTGTTTCGTTGCATTTGCGTAATTGGCAGATCTGAAGCAAAAATGGATTAAGGATTTTTTTTTTAATAATAATAAATACGATGATATTACAGTAATAAAACGAACAAGTTGATGGATGTAATAATATCGACGATTAATGAATTATTTAAAATTTGATTTACTTGATTGGCATATTGTTTGTGATACGTCGAAGAGGGAAATTTTATAATGTATAATTTAAAATTGGATAATTAATTGGAAATTTGCAACGTGTTATAATGTCAGTTTAAAATATTTTTTTTGTAATATCAAGTCGAATATTTATACATACACTGAAATGAATATTTAAACGATATCTGCATTGAACGTATTAAGCAGTACACTGTGTGAAAATTTTTTGACAATAAACATTATTCCAATTTAAATGATTGGAAAGTAGTCTCGTTACACGTGAAACGTTTTAAATATTGATTATAATATAACGCATAAGTTGCACAATGCGCTATGTATTATAGAAATAACTACGTGGAAAAAAAATTTTACTCATTGAAGCAATAATTTTTACTTCTCTTTGCATACTAAAGTTGCACAAGTTGAAAAATTTATCATCTCAATTACTATTATACGCACGAATTCTATCAATAACTTAATGGAAGTTTTAAATTTTAAAATTGCGTTTCACATTAAAAGATTTCCATGTTCCATCATCGAATGAATTATAGTAAATAATAAATAACCCTTGAAACATCGAAAATACACCAAAAATTGCACAAGTTTATCGTGTATGAGCTCTAAACGCGAATCTGATCTCGAGCACGGTAAAGCAAAAGTTTGTTTGAAACGAACTTATTAGAAGAAGAAAGTATTGACACGTCACGAAAATCGATATGTTTATTTCGACTCTCTCGCTATACTCGACAAACTTGGAAGAAAAACTTGGATCTTTGGGATTAACTCCATAAGCGTTCTCCATTTCTCGATTTTACGCTCGCTCGTCCAATCTTTTCATTTTTGTCCTCGATAAACGCGACAACACCGCGACGAATCGTGCGCAATCTAACGTTGTTGTTGATATTTCCTTACGACGATAGACGTTCGTGTACAAAAAGAACAAGATGAAAATTGTTCCGCGCCTCTTCAATGGCGTGAGACGGAAACATTTGACGTCTCAGAAAGGTTCACGCTCGAACCCCCTTTACAACCGTGTCACGGTTTAAAATAAATATACGAGGGTATATATTGCCTCGGTTTCGCTTCTATTTTTTTTTCGAAAGGTTGGCGCCGTTGGTCGAAGCAATTATTACGCGCTACCGGGATTATTGCGCCATAATAGTTCCAGCAGCCATAGTTGAACCGCGAAAACACTAATTTACAGAGCGTTTACAGAGGAGTCAACCGGACAGTTTCCCGTCCCTTTCCTTCCTTTTTTTGCCCGTGTTCGTTAATGCCCGCATGGGATCAACGTGATACCGGACGACTTGGACCGGAAATAGGGACGTTACATTTCTGATTGCTTATCCTTGTTCCCCTTTTTCCCCCTTCTAGGCTTAAATACGGCAGGAATTACGCGTTGCAAGTACTTATTTGGAATGATAGAAATGGGCAATTGGAATTGGAGTCCGGGTAATGAATCGTGATATAATATTTTTTTGCTCCTAAATTTATTGCTTTATGAATTTGGATTTCAATTTTTTTTTTT